TTTTTAAAAATACATTTTCAAACATACTATATGTCTTTAAAAGTTAATTTAACTTGTTGCCGACCGCAGATAGCCGAATGACGGCTGCACTGCGGCCGGCCAGTTCTGAGTGGACGTCATATGACGTCTCCCCAGAACGCGCTCTCCTGCCTGTCCTACGGACACAGCTGATCACGTGATGTGGTAAAAGGCCAATCACAGCGGCCTTTTACCACGTGATCAGCGGTGTCCAATGACACGCTGATCAGAGGGAAATGCAAGTGCCTGTTCTCGGCTGCACTTTCCTCACGCTGTCAGATCGTGAGGAAAGTACTGCCGAGAACCGGCAGTTGTCAGAGCGGGGTTCGGCACCGATCATCAGGGCACTGATGATCAGTGCCCTGATGATCGGTGCCCAGCAGTGCCACCCGCAAGTTCCGCCCACCTGTGCCCAGCAGTGCGCCCACTAGCTCTGCCCACCTGTGCCCAGCAGATCACCCACCTGTGCCCAGCAGTGCACCCACCTGTGCCCAGCAGTGCACCCACCTGTGCCACTCTGCAATGTCACACACCTGTGCCCAGAAGTGCCACCTACCTGTGCCCAGCAGTGCCACCCACCTGTGCCCACCACCCTGTGCCCACCAGTGCCACCCACCTGTACCCACCAGTGCCACCCACCTGTGCCCACCCACCAGTGCCACCAGTGCCACCTACCAGTGCAGCCCAGCAGTGCTGCCAGTCAGTGCCGTCTATCAGTACCCATCATCAGTGTCACCTATCAGTGCCGCCTATCAGTGCTGCATATTAGTGCCGCCTATCCGTGACACCTCATTAGTGCTGTCTATCAGTGCCGCCTATCCGTGCCACCTCATTAGTACTGCCTATCAGTGCCCTTTAGTGCTGCCTATCAGTGCCCATCAGTGCCGCCTATCAGTGTCCATCAGTGCTGCCTCATCAACGCACATCAGTGAAGGAGAAAAATTACCTGTTTGAAAAATTTTATAATAGAAACAAAGAAACTTTTTTTTTTTTTTTTTTTTTCAAATTTTTGGCAATTTTTTATTTATAGCGCAAAAAGTAAAGTGCCCAGTGGTGATTAAATACCACCAAAAGAAAGCTCTATTTGTGAGAAAAAATTATGATCAAAATTTCATATGGGTACAATGTTGCATGACCGCGCAATTGTCAATCAAAGTGCGGCAGCGCTGAAAGCTGAAAATTGGCCTGGTAAATAAGGGGGTATAAGTGCCTGGTAGGCAAGTGGTTAATCTACATTTTTGGAATGCGTTTACAAATATATGTAAAAATATATGTTAAAATGACTTTTTTATATGTTAAAAAAAAATCTGAAGAATATATTTTAAAAAAATATATTTTTAAAAATATTTTTAATATATTTTGTAATATGTAAACAGCGCATTTCAACATGCAGTATATATTATTATTATTATTATTATTATTATTATACAGGATTTATATAGTGCCAATAGTTTGCTCAGCACTTTACAATATAACGGGAGACAATACAGCAACAATACAGTTCAATACAAGAGGAATAGGAGGGCCCTGCTCCTTGGAGCTTACAATCTAGGAGGGAGGGACATATATATGTGAGGGATATATATATATGTGTGTATTGAAATATATTTTGAAATCCTACACGCACCCGATCTCGGAGGCTAGGCAAGGAGAAGCCTGTACAATGGTACAAGACGGAAAAAGAAGGTCAGATTTAAATTGAGCTCAGATGAATATGGACGGAGGTGGGGGACCCCACATGGAAGAAAATATATTTGAAAATATTTTTAAAATATTCTTCCCAAGTATATTGACATATACTGTATTTGAAATGCTACCATTTTGGCCATATTCAATATATTTCAAAATATATTTCAATACCGCCTGCTGCTGTGGGGGATGCTGTCAGGATAGAGAGTGGGTAAGGGGCCTGTGTGATTTACCGACCCTTTCCTTGTCTTAATGAAAAGAGTCAGTGATCGCTGTGTTTACTATGTATTAGTTTATGAATGGACAGGAAGCTCTGTCCATTCATTCTGTGCAGGCTAATCTGTCTCAAAGTTGGAACATCAGAGTTTTGTTTATACACCTGATATTAAACCAAAGCCCTCCAATGGGGCTCCTTAAAAATTGTAAAAAATAATAAAAAAATATTATTGTACAAAATAACAAAAATAAAAAACTTCTGACACCAGTGGCACAACTACCAGGTTCACAAAGGTCGCACTTGCGACTGGGCCCTGGCATTCTGCCACCGGGCTTGGAGGGAAGGGCCCCAGCCAGGGGTTAGGGGGGCCCTTCATGGTTTCTTGAAGGTTCTAATTACGCCACTGAACTTCACTAAAGTTTTTATAATGAGAGCGTCTGATTTGTTTAAAAATGAAGTCCTGGGGTATACTGTATGTGCATTTGTGAGACTTTCACTTGTGGCACAGGAATTACAGAATATTTTGAGGGAATGGATGTGACATACAGTATGTTTGCAGCGTATACAGGCAGAACTTAATGGAATTTTAGGATTTTAAAGGTGTATTGCCTAAAAGTAAAATAAAAAAAATAATTTCCAGATTTTTATAATGTACAATGCTTGCCTTAAAATGCTTTCCTTCACATTTTGGCAAGTCCTTAGATCTACTGGCATCACCTGTATTACATGGCAACTTTATCTTAAAGAGTGTGGACATATTTTCTAAGCCTTTAATCTTTCTCACAATAATCTTCTGTTTCTTCTGAACACCATCTCATATCAATGGCAATTAAATGCGAATGGCATCACATCCTCTGTATCCTATGATTGTGCCAATCCAAATCCAACCTCTGCAGGCCATTTAGGACAACACTCATCCACAACCAAGGGTTTGCCTTATTAGCATAACTGCCTATTAAAAGAAATTAAAATCTCCAACTAAAGAGTGAAATTAATTCAGGGGGTTGATCAATATTTCTGTCTATAACTTTGCTGGCTCAGTAAACACAGCATGTGATTATAACTAGATGAGGGAAGTGTGCATCCACCTGGGGATATGAGTGATGATACATCAAAGGGACAAGCAATTATAGGAAGCTAGGGTTCTGGCTGATTAATAAGCAGTGATGTGTTATCTTTACTCTCTCATATGCTTTAATGTAAAAGTGGCGGCAACATGACTTATAAGAGGTTTATATAAACTGGGGGAAATTAATAATGGGGGAGTTTCCCTAAGCAAGTAACAAGCGGTTCGCATTTAATTACAAATCTGTGTTAGATAAATGACAGCAGTATATTACAGTTTTCGAATGGGCACCACACTACATTATCGTTACATTTTCATGAAAATAACACCATATTTTGTGATAATTCATATGACGGGGAAGATGAAAAGATGAGCAGTTGACCAAATCCAAGACGTTTATTTGAGTCACAGCACCAAATGGGCAACCAAAGGGAATGCTATGCTTCTAGGGAGGCTTTCCAACATCTCCCCATGATGATGCCAGCTCTGGCACTTCCCACTATCTCTGATCTTTTTCTGCCTATACTAAACTTCCTTTGTTGGGGGGAGAATCTTCCTAATAATACCCCTGAGAAAAAGGGGGAGCAAAGGAATCCTTCACATTGATGAACAATAAATCAATACTAGCCTTTCGAGGCTGTCAGCATGCTGTATACCACTCAATGGTGTATAGGGAAAATGGGAGATAAGTAATATAAGGGCACAAGCTTGATCAGTGCCATATGAGACACTAAATGGTGTAGGCAAACTTGAATTTCCAGCCAGGAAAGCACTATATATTGTACCACAGCAAACAAGCTTGCAATGATCGAAATTAGGTTGATGGTCTCCCCTAGTTGATGGATGTAGCTCTGAAAGGCAAATGCAGGCTCCTCTAAGTGCATCCGCCTGTTCAGTATTCATCGGACATCAATACCAAGAAAAAGCTCACCTGTTCAAAATGATGGGTTGGATGCATGTACTCCATGGCAAGTAGCACTTTTTGTTTACATTCCGCATGAATGGCAGCTACTGGTGAGCACTAATGTTTAATATCCAGAAGAAGACCTTCAAGTGTTCCAAAATGATCCTCTATTTATTAAAAACCTAGACCCTTTGGCAGTGGATGCTTACCTCCTCTTCCGGAGAACGGAGAGATGGTGGATGAGAATTTTACTTCCAGCAGCTATCCTTGTCCCTGCTCTGACTGACAGAAGTGATGCTGGAGCCAGCAACTCAGTTAGGGTAATAGACCATGCACACAGCCTTAGAAAGGCAAAGTAATGGAATGCAAAGCAGCATAAAAACATGCATGTGCTCCAGATTTGGGATGCTGTGAGATTAATTTGAACTGTTTTAGTAGTTAAAGCAGTACAAATGGATGTCAACACACTCTTAAGGTCTCTTTCACATGGGAAGAAATCTCTACCGCCTTCTGAAAAGCAATCTGTTGTGGTTTGCTTTTCAAAGGATAGAAGACATGTCTTTTTTTCTCATAAAATAAGTGTAGAAACTCAATCATGCCTCCCACAACCCCCCTCCCCCAGCCCCAACACACACACATCTGTCAAACGGCATTAACCACTTGTCTACAGGGCACTTATACCCCCTTCCTGCCCATGCCAATTTTCAGCTTTCAGTGCTGTTGCACTTTGAATGACAATTGCACAGTCATGCTACACTGAACCCATGAAAATTTTATCATTTTTTTGAGACACATAGAGCTTTTTTTTGGTGGTATTTAATCAACTCTGGGTTTTTTATTTTTTGCTAAACAAACCAAATACAACAGAAAATTTTGAAGAAAAAAAGTTTTTTCTTAGTTTCTGTTATAAAAGTTTGTAAATAAGTGATTTTTCTCCTTCACTGATGTGCTCTAATGAGGCTGCAGTGATGGGCACTGATAGGTGGCACTTGTAGGTGGCATTGATGGTCATTGACAGGCATCACTGATGGGCACTGTTAGGTGGCACTGACAGGCACTGATAGGCAGCACTGACTGGCACTGATAGGTGGCATTGATTTGCAGCACTGATAGGTGGCACTGACTGGCACTGATAGGTGGCACTTACTGGCACTGATAGGTGGCACTGAAAGGCAGCTCAGATGGGCACTGATATGTGGCATTGATGTGGCACTGATGGGCACTGGCAGGTGGCACTGATGGCCACTGGCAGGTGGTATTGATGGACACTGACAGGTGGCACTGATGGGGCTACACTGATCATCAGGGCATTTCCTTATTTACTGGCATTTCCTTATTTACATGCCCCCCACGCACGCGCGGTTTGAGTGGGAGGACATCATATGACGTCCTCCCAGAATGAGAGAACCGCCTTGCACCCGTCATTACCTTATATGGCGGGCAGGAGGCGGTTAAATAGTAGGTGTGGCTAACAGTGAAAGGGTCTTAAAGGGGCATTAAACACCAGCAATGCATTAGGTCCAGAGAGCAGAATTCAGGGGTGTATTACACACAGAGTGCAGAGTTCAAGGCAGCGCTACATACAGAGTACAGGATTCAGGAGCGCGCTGTGTTCAGAGTGCAGAGTTCAGGGTTGTGCTATGTACAGACTGCAGAGTTCAGGAGTACACTACACACAGAGTGCAAAGTTCAGAGTTGTGTTACACAAAGATTGCAGAGTTCACGGGTACACTATATACAGAGTGCAGAGAGTTCATGGGTGCGCTACACACAGAGAGTGCAGAGTTCAGCCCTCTTCCACAGCTGCTTACCTCTGTATCCCCCATCCAAATCTCACTTTCGCCACTTTTCAGCTCTGATCTCTGCACACAACCCTCCCTCCCCTGCCCTCATCTTCTCCGGACTTTTGTGTTTACAAGTGATAGTGGTGAGCAAGGAGCAGGGGGCCTGAGCCAGAGGTGGTGGAACTGAGTTCCACCAAGTTCCAGCTGAAAAAAGCCCTGATAGTAGAGCAGGAACTGGCAGGAATTAAGGAGGTGATCCAGTCAACTACTGGATGTCTGTTTTCTTGCATTTTTATTTTTAATCCCACAGGAAAAACCCATTGACCTCAGTCAGTGAGTTTGACAGGCTGTGCTACCTGTCAAACCCTGCAAGCTGTTAAATTTGCAGCGGCCAATCCATGTGAATACACAATCTAGCCGCAATGAAAAATGTAGATCATCTGCCTGCTTCTTTTTTTTTTGCTTTCTTTTGCCACCTGTGTGAAATGGCCCTAAAATAGAACTGATGGAAAATATTGGGCTGGGTTTCCACTTTAAATAATACAGGTCTACCTCATCCATGACAGACTGTAAAGATTTGTTCTAATGAGTGAAGTAACAATACTGTTCAGTATCTCCTTCTGTTCTGTATTCCCCTTCATTCTTCATTAATTACTAAGAAATAAAGTTTGAGTATTAAAGAATATGTAAACCCAACACTTCATATTCCTGATATGTGCCTGCTGTACCATGTACTTGTATAAGTAAGTATACTGTTCTGTTTGTATTGCTTCCTTTGTATGAAATCCCTGGTGTTCCTGCCAGTTCCTCTGCTTTCTTTCCTTTCCTATTTCCTACTGACCACACTAGGCATGAGAGCACAACGTGATCCATTCTCTAGCTAGTTTTAAATGAAATTATACTAAATGTATTACATAGCAATTTTCACAGAAGTTTAAAATAGAAATGAAAGGCAAAACTTTTGTGTACAGATATAAAAAAAATCATAAATACCCTTTTTCCCCTTTTTATAAGTGATCATATACCCTTTGTTCTCAGCTGCAGCTGCATAGTCTTCCCAGTGAATGGTTCTGCAGGTTGTGCTTCAGCAGACGTATGCTGGGAACTCCTCTCCAATGATCAGACGTCTGCTAAAACACAACCTGCAGAACCATTCACTGGGAAGACTAGTGTCCTGCTGTTTCTCCTCCCTGAGCTCCTTATGCAGCCGAGAACAAAGGGTATGTGATCACTTATCTATCTATCTATCCATTCAGTCGTATCCGACCCTTGGCGATTGCATGGACCGTCACTCGTAAGCGACTTTTTCCATGAATTCTCTTAGCAATTATTTTTACAGGGTAGGTTGCCAGGTCTTTCCCCAACCCCTACCATGCAGGAGATCCTGCATGGCCAGGGATGTGATCACTTATAAAAAGGGGAAAAAGGGTATTTATGATTTTTTTTTTATATCTATACACAAACGTTTTGCCTTTCATTTCTATTTTAAACTTCTGTGAAAATTTCTATGCAATACATTTAGTATCATTAATTTAGTGTCATTAATTTAGTGTCGACAATTTGCATGTTTCTACATACCTTGATAGTATCGTAGCCTAGTGTTCTGTTTTCAAGCTTTTATTCCCCTCAAAATGTAATTATAATGTATTATATTGCGCATTGATTAGCAAAATATAGCTGTGACGGGTGGGGGAGGGGGCATCACATGGGATTTATTACCTGTCGCTTTGTCAAGTAACTGCACAGGAGGTGAGAAGTAGAGCTGCGCAGTTTACAGAGCACTGACAGCATAGGAAGACCGCTGCGCATTTTAACAAGGTTTGTCATTAATTCTATATCTGAGAAGGCTGTCTAAATCGGTTGACATAAAGTGTATTTAAGGAAAATTAAAACATGATATGAAAGAATTTAAAGCTGCATTCCAGGCAGATATAAAGGACACAAGTTACACAGCTTTGAATGTATTAACATATTATCGTGTGTAAGCAGTGTAAGTACCAGAATCTGACCTGGTGTCAGCCTCGTGCAGTTTTTGTACATCAGACTGGGAGAAATACAGTATAAGCCGGGCAAGGAGAGAACCAGGTTTGCTGCCGTGTTCATGTACTAATGAGGAGCATGCTGATGGCAGGAGAGAATAGAGTGACAGGGAGGTTAACACATCAGTCTGCTTCTTGTCCTTTAATGTCCAATTACAAGCTGGGGGAGGGACACAACCTGGAATTATTGCTTAACCACTTCCCGACCGGCCGTTGTATATAAACGGCCGGACGGTGGCACTGCAGGGTTGGGTGGCTGTTTATAAACGGCCTCCCCGCACACTGCTTGTGCGCGCTCCCCGGGAGTGCGCAGCACCGCGATCCAGTGCTCGCTGTGTCCTCTGGACACAGTGGAACACCGATCGTCGGATGGGACCTCTGTACGAGGTCCTGATCATGTGATCACTGATTGGCCAATCAGTGATCACATGCAAAGTAGTAAGCAAGATGTCACTTGTGACATCATTGCTTACTACGTGTGAAATCTGTGAATGATCACAGAGGTCACATGGTACAAGGCTATTCACAACAGCCTTGTACCATGTGACAAGCTGTGACCAATCACAGCTCACTCAGTAGTTCTCAATGGTTGCAGGAATGCAGACAGAGAGAAAGAGAAATGATTGCTTTTACATCCTATATGGGTATAAAAGCAATCAGTGTAAAATAAAAAAAAAAAAATCTTCATCACCCCCCACAAGTACTACAGTGTCACCATGGTGACACTGTACTGCTAGGGTGACAGTATGTAAAAATAAATAAATAAATAATAATAAAAAAAAAATTAAAAATGTAAAAAAAAATGTTTAAAAATTATAATTTTTGGTTATAAACTAATTTGGCTTTTTTTTTTTTTTACTAAAAAGATAACGGAATACATTTTGGCCAAGATTTATGATGAAATATTATTTATTTGCAAAATTTTATCAGAAAAACACTTTTTTTTTCAAAATTTTTGGACATTTTCATTTACATAGCAAAAAAAATTAAAATCTAAGTGGTGAATAAACACCTCCAAAATAAAGTTTTATCTGTCTCAAAAAAATGGTAAAAAATTCATATGGGTACAGTGTTGCATGACCGCGCAATTGTCATTCAAAGTGTGATAGTGCTGAAAGCTGAAAATTGCCCTGGTCAGGAAGGGGGTAAAAGTGTCCGGACTGGAAGTGGTTAAAGTGTTACTAAACCCACAACAGTAAAATCAGTCTGTATATGCAGTAAAGCATGCTTGTTATACTCACTGTGGAACCTAAGGGGTTAATCCTCTGCATTGTATAAAAAGGCTGTTTGATCCTGACTTCTCTGCCCCTCCTCTTGTTCAAATGTCCATGCTGAAAAGACAAACTGAACCCGTAGCCCTTCTGCATATGCTTAGTTTAGTGTTTATTGTTAGAGAGGTTTTTTTTTATTCTTGGGAGGGTGCATGTGATCAGTACAGGGCCAATCAGCACTGTCCGGACAGAGGTCAGGGGTTTTGCATCCTCCTAGAGCAGAAAGAAAACTCCTCCTACAAGCTTTAACCAGTGCTCTGCTGAAGTCACAAGACTGTTCTAACTGTTGATGGGAAAAGGTATTTAGCAGTTTATATTTACTAAAATAATTGCATTACCATGTTCTATGTAGTGTGGACCAGATATAGTGAATGAAGGGTCCAGGGTTTAGTAACACTTTAACGGCAGCATAGAAAAGTTAGTTCTCCTGCCCTTCCAGGCAGGACTGTGCTGTGACATGGAGCTGTGTAAATCCTAGAAATAGATGGACAGAACTACAAATATTTTGGCAGGTATAACTGCTCCATTATAATACACAAACATGAAAAAGTATTTGCACCCTTTCTGATTTTTTCTGCATTTTTGTCACACTTAAGTGATTCAGAATATCAACTAAATGTTAATATTACACAAAGATAAACCGAGTAAATGTAGAATGCAGTTTTGAAATGATGACTTCATATATTAAGTGAAAAAAGCTGTCCAAATCTGCCTTGCCCTATAAGAAAAAGTGACTGCACCCAACCCCCCCGGAACATCAGGGTGACTTCCCCACCATCAGAATGCACAGAACAGAGCTGCAGTCTATAGCCTGCAAAACCCATCAAGCGGTAACTTTCCAACAGGAAGGTTGAACAGAAGTCGATCGTCAGCGTGTAAAAACATTTAGCTTATGTTTCCACGCACACTTAGGCCTTTACAGGCTTATTAGAAGAGGAGTGTTTACAGACTATGGAGAATAGAGGGCTGGGGAAATCAAATCAACAGCTGCATATTTATGCAGCTCTGGCCAATCCCTGGTGAGAATATGCACAGATGGTGGCTGGGAGAATGTATAAATACTCTGAGTCTTTGAACAAACAAATCCTTTGTCCTGGAGGAGGAGACCTCAGTCTAAAGGGCTTCTGTCCCTCAGGACAGGCCTGCCATGTGTCAGCAGTTCTTCGAGGTCTCAGCTGGGCTAGCTGGGGGGCCTTTCCGTCTAAAAGTGGCTGAAGCTGACTGAGGGACTTTTTTTCTATGGATCTGGTCTGATATCACTGGAGAATTGTCTGGAAGATATTGGAAGCTGGTGTCCAACTATCCAGTAATGCGTGTGAAATTACACATTTTCCTGCACCACACAAAAATGCGTTGCCATTTGTAGTTACGTGTGTGCCAATAATGCATCCACCAATTACATCTATGTTTGCACCCACTAAAATGCATGGTGCCACAGTACCATTCATTTACGTGTGGCTCAATTTAAAAATCATGCCAGCACCTATTTGCAGGTTTCACAAGCATAGAGCAACCTAATAAAAATGCAACATTCAGGAACATGCAAAAAAAAAGCACTGGCACTTGGACGCACCTCTTTGTGTGAATGAGCCTCAGACTGTTGTGCCCTGGGATTGTACACAGATCTAAAGGGTGCCTTGACTGAACAAAGGTTGAAAAACACTGCTCCAGAGGACAACTTGACAATTCCCTTATAGTGACTGAATCAAGTGCTTGTTCTACAAGACTGGAGAATGTTTGTCACAGTAGGATGTCAAAATGATGTCCCTTTGAACAGGAATGTGTCCAGGATTTGGAATCATCCCTTTGGCTGGTGTGTCCCCTATGGGATTGGCCACATACATGACCTAACCATTAGAAGATACTGTGGCCTTCAAGGATGTGCTCAATCAGTGCATTGTTCTTGATCTTAGAAGGTGAAGCCTATATTAAAAGTGGTCAGTTTGACTTCCTGCCTCAAGATGAGTGTCTGCTGAATTAAAGGAAACCAAAGTTCAAGAGTCAGTCTCCATGCTCACTCCAGAAAGGTTAGCTTCTGAATTTCTGGCTGGGAGCCTCCAGGATAAACTGGTAAGCCAGCACATAATCCAAAGAGCGAAGATCTCCATATCAGGAAGCTTTCTGGTATTTTGGGGATTGTGCTACCCACACATGTCTTATGGGCATTTGGTGGCTGCATTTTGGACATAGGTACAGCTTTGGTAATGGACGCATGATCCCTCATGGCAAGTATTTCAGGCCATATTTTGGGAAATCTTTCATCCTTCACGTCTCAAGTTGGGCAACAGAAATTGCCTCGCTTCAGCAGGTCAGGTAAGCTTAGTGTACTCTCACCCCCTTTCAAGTGGGGTCAGAGGGCCTAGGCAAAAGATATGGATTACAACCTGTATGAAGCGAGCCTAAACTTGTGGTTGGAAAAGCAGAATCTTCTGCAATGTCATTCCCTTCTGATCACCTAGTGGCTGGTGGTGCAGTCAGACACTAGCAAAGTAGTTGGGGAGTCCTATTTCAGGAGCAATGGGCTCAGGGCCAAGGGCCTTTTTCAAGGGTTCAAGATGGTGTCCAACATCCTGGAGTTGAGAACGGCATTTCAGGCTCTTCTAGCCTTCGGTCATCTGGGTTGGATCTGTCCTTGTGAAGTTAGACAGCACAACGACTGTGGCCTACATCCAGAAACAAGGGGGCAACTGGTCTCTCCATCCTGAAGGAGGTTTCTACCCCAGTCAGCCCCAGTCAATATTCTGCAACTTCCTGCAGCCTATGCGCCCGGTCGGAAGCAATCTCCAGGCAAACTATTAGTCCAGGACAATCCTGGATGACAATGAATAGTTCAGACTGCAGCAAATCTTTTGAGATCTAATGGAGCTTGGTAATTTCTTCTAGAGGTGGACCTCTTCACATCCCCAGTCAACACCAAGTTGCTGAAGTTCTATTCCAGGGTCCAGAATCCACAGGCTTGGAGGTCTGCTGTGGCTGTGGCTGGGAAGGTCTTTCTGCTGCTCTCTGATTCTCTCTGGCTGTGGTGTGGCCAAGGTGATTGGTGGTGATCCCAGATTGGCCAAAGGGGCCTTGGTACCCTCTGCTCCTCTTAATGAGTGCCAAAGATCCATTCCATCGGATAGTAAGATTTAATCTTCTCCAAAGTTCCATTCACCCAGCGTGGTAGGACTAGTTACACCCAGGCTACAATGGGCTCAATTTTAATACTTAGATCCTGGAAGCATGGGGGGGGCATTTCAAGCTGTAATAACATGGAGCCATCAGGAAAGAAATATTACAGTAAGTATCTGTCATTCAATTTTCTTTTTTTAATTCTGTAGTAGCAATCTCAGTAGCCTGCATAACCCCAGAAAAAAATCAGATTCTTTTTTTTGGCACTGGAAATTTGGCAGATGGAATCTAATTATTTCTTGTCAGTAAGACACTACTACTTTAATCCTGGTATCCTACTAATACATATAGATCAATAAAAATCAAAGCCAATTTTGGGTTTGTAATTCTTTTAATATCCAGATACAATTTCTTTTGCTGACTGGTTATGCATTAGTCATTGGAGAAAACATATAATGCGTGTCATGTGACATTATTTACTGTATTATTCTGCTGATGTGTATTTTTATTCGCAACAAAAGACTAAAACATCCCAGGGAAAATGTACATGTACAATACCTAACACCTATTTTAATGGCCCCATGCAATGTCTCCTATTTTTGAGGCACTCTTAGGAAATACATCTAACAAAGAAACCAAATTGTTGAATCTTCTATTGTAGAAACTACTCTTTTATAGTTTCATTATAGCAAGAACATCAAGTCTAGCCCCAGCACAAAAATATACTTGAGAATAGGTTGGTCACAAGCCTGATGTATCGAATACTAAAAAGACAGAGTAATATAATCTCTCAATGCCTGCTATGCTAGATGTTCTTGCACTGATGGAACAATAAAAGAACTATTTCAACATAGCAAGATACCAGTTGTCTGTGCTTTTTACTTTTTTTCTCAATTTTTATTTTCACAGATCTCTTTATTTTCTAAGTATATTTTAAAGAATATTCTAGAATATTACAAAATAAAGTCAAGTACAGGGTGACAGCTATTCTTGGGTTTGTAAGACTAAACTTCTTGAATCTACAATAGAGTATAATAGAAAATATGGTAGTGTGACAAGAGCAACACCACCCAAGAGGGAAAGTGGTTACTTAAACATCCACGCGGAGTAATGTAGGTTAGGTAATTACAGAGAATACTTTATTTTGATCACATAGATCATAAGGAGGTTGAATGTGGAATTGTCTGAATCCCTCGGCACATAGGAAGACATATGTTGGCTCCTGGTGTGTATTAAAGAAGAGATCCATATTACAGAAGGTATATATGTGCGTGTCATGTGTTTTACACACCACAGCAGTTCTAGCATGCCACTAAAGCTGTTTTTGCATTGTGTTCAAATTTTTTTGAACACAATGCACAATTCAGCCTGTGAATTAGACAGTGAAGAAGCATTAGCAAACTGACAAGGTCAATCTGCCCTCTCAACCTCTTAGTTCCATGGTAGGCCCTGTGTCCTTGCCCACACCCAAAAAAGCCTATGAAAAATCCAATGAAAGGTACCAGGGGCATCTCATGGGGCCCCCTACTGACCCCGGGCCCTCGGGCAGTGCCCAAGTGCTCAAATGGTCAGTCTGCCCCTTGGCTCCCAGTGTTGCTCCTCTCTCTTCCAGTCTGAGTGCTGCTCTACAAAGGACTATAAGAGACTGATACCAAGTCACATTCAGTTACATACATTATTTGCATTTTGCATTTAGAAAAAAATAATTATATATTTATTATTAAATAATTATATATTAAAGTGTATCTCTAGCCAAAATACAGCTACACTTTAAAGGATTTTTTTTGTAAAGTACCGCTTCCAGTTCCTGCTATAATTTGAATGGAAGTCTTAAGGTATTACTAAAACCAGCAAAAATTGAATGCAGAGGCAATCCTTTAATATGATAAATAGCAGCTATATTTATAGTCTTACAGACACAACCAGACCAATGTTATAGTCTTACAGACACAACCATAGTGCTAATGAGGCCTCCAATAAAATTGATAAAATGTAACACCCCTGATCTAGTCCTTTCCTTGCCAGCCAAACTGTCCCTGGCCCACTCCTTTCATTCTCTGGATTTCAGGTCTGTCAATTGTGGAGGCTCAGCATCACATGTGAACTTTACCTAAGGAAATCTGCTGTAATCAGGAACCTACAGTATGTGCAGCCCTCCTATCAGCCATGATCTGCTTGCATTGCACAGGGCAGCTCAGAGACTCAATGATAGTATCATCATTGCTAAAATAAGGTATGTCATGAAAATTGAAACTATTTTTAAAAATGTTATTAGCATGTTTTAGAACCAAGGATCGCAGAAATAAGCAGATTAAACTTTGGTATGAATAAATATGCCATCTGTACAGTGTACAGAGAATGAATCATTAGAATGTAGTCAACTTCACTTGTACATTACACAAACTTTCCCTAAAATAATATAATTAAACTTCCTGGAGTTCTTATTTAATTGGTTGATATCTGTCTTGCTTATATAAATGACATAAAAGAGTAAACACTGTAAATATACAGTATGTGTGTGTTTTATATATACTGTACTGTGTATATATATATATATATATATATATTATATTTTCTCACAGAAGTGAGTACACCCCTCACATTTTTGTAAATATTTTATTCTATCTTTTCATGTGACAACACTGAAGAAATGACACTTTGCTACAATGTAAAGTAGTGAGTGTACAGCTTGTATAACAGTGTAAATTTGCTGTCCCCTCAAAATAACTCAACACAGCCATTAATGTTTAAACCACTGGCAACAGCGGTCCACCCCTAAGTGAAAATGTCCAAATTGGGCCCAAAGTGTCAATATTTTGTGTGGCCACCATTATTTTCCAGCACTGCCTTAACCCTCTTGGGCATGGACTTCACAGGTTGCCACTGGAGTCCTCTTCGACTCCTCCATGACGATATCACGGAGCTGGTGGATGTTAGAGACCTTGCGATCCTCCACCTTCTGTTTGAGGATACCCTGCAGATGCTCAATAGGGTTTAGGTCTGGAGATATGCTGGGCTAGTCCATCACCTTTACCCTCAGCTTCTTTAACAAGGCAGTGGTTGTCTTGGAGGTGTGTTTGGGATCATTATGTTGGAATACTGCCCTTCGGCCCAGTCTCCAGAGGGAGGGGAACATGCTCTGCTTCAGTATGTCACAGTACATGTTGGCATTCATGGTTCCCTCAATGAACTGTAGCTCCCCAGTCCTGGCAGCACTCATGCAGCCCCTGACCATGACACTCCCACCACCATGCTTGACTGTAGGCAAGACACACTTGTTTTTGTACTCCTAACCTGATTGCCAACACATGCTTGACACCATCTGAACCAAATAAGTTTATCTTGGTGTCATCAGACCACAGGACATGGTTCCAGTAATCCATGTCCTTAGTCTGCTTGTCTTCAGCAAACTGTTTGCAGGCTTTCTTGTGCATTATCTTTAGAAGAGGCTTCCTTCTGGGATGACAGTCATGCAGACCAATTTGATGCAGTGTGTGGCATATGGTCTGAGCTCTGACAGGCTGACCCCCCCACCCCTTCAACCTCTGTAGCAATGCTGGCAGCACTCATACGTCTATCTCCCAAAGACAACCTTTGGATATAACGCTGAGCACGTGCACTCAACTTCCTTGGTCGACTATGGCGAGGCCTGTTCTGAGTGGAACCTGTCATGTTAAACCGCTCTATAGTCTTGGCCACCGTGCTGCAGCTCAGTTTCAGGGTCTTAGCAATCTTCTTATAGCCTAGGCCATCTTTATGTAGAGCAACAATTCTTTTTTTCAGATCCTCAGGGAGTTCTTTGCCATGAGATGCCATGTTGAACTTCCAGTGACTAGTATGAGAGAGCGAGAGCGATAACACCAAATTTAACACACCTGCTCCCCATTCACACCTTGTGTGAATGTGAGACCTTGTAACACTAACGTGTCAAATGACACCGGGGAGGGAAAAGAGCTAATTGGGCTCAATTTCTTCAGTGTTGTCACATGAAAAGATATAATAAAATATTTACAAAAATGTGAGGGTGTACTCACTTCTGCGAGATTCTGTATATATTTATTTACAATTTGTTCACTTTATGAGTGACATTGGCCACACATGCTACATTTTAATTTTTCATTCTCTATTCAATTTCTATACACAGAGGGATGTTTACTGATGTCGAAGTTTGATCTGTCTACATTTTGCGATCCTTGGTTCCTTCTTCCCCCTCACCAATGTGCTAATGACATTATTAAATAAAATATATTATATTATATTAATTTACAGCATATATCTGGAATCTCTATGACCATTAATTGCATAACAGGACAAGTCTTAAAATACACAGGAATAATGCTTTATTCTCAGGAGCCAATTGCATTGTGCACAGCACAGCAGATTTAGGAGATCTTTCTGACATTTCTTGTGAAACATGAGGAAATATTCTAGTTCTGTATAATATCTCCCACTGCGAGTCCCTGGCAGACCCCAGCGGGGGCCTTTGCAGACTCAGACAGCGGGCCTTTCTTGCTAAGAGATTGACAATTTCAGCAAGAGCTTCTTAGCGGTCTCTGAGTGTCATAACCAGGCTGGTGTCCCTCGCATTGAAATCAATCCACACAACATATTTTGGGATTAGTGTATTGATTTTTTGTATACACGTTGTAGCTGAAGCTCTGCAGGCACTGTGATTCTGATATATAAATAGGATCCCCAGCTGTTACTCAATGTTCATGGTTAATGTATGTAGCTGTCCATCAGGAGGATTTCTTTGGTTATCAGAAAATACAAAATGAGCAGCTTAGGTTTACTGCGGGAATAAAGGTTTCTGCATGTTTAAGCAATTTCTTTTTTTAGAAATATATTTTCATTTTTTCAGCTATGGGGAGTGCTGAAAGCAAAATGATCAGATTCTTTATTTTATTTCAAAGATGAAATATAATTGGTAGTTGAGGACAACTGTTCTAATTTAGCTTTCTTCTTTGCACTAGTCTTTGTGCGTTATTTAAGTACCATTGCATTTTCTTCTCTCTAAGGCTATGTTCACACTAGCGTTGTGTGCAGGCGGCAGAAAGGTGTTTGGGAAGCGTTTTTACCGCTTCCCAAACGCCTCAGACAATTCTGCACATTGCAGCACATGGTGCTGTTCTAATGGGAGCGTTAGCGTCGCGTCAAAACGGACACCTCTGGTTGAGTCAGGAGGCATTGAAGTCTCCTATTCTAGTCTATGGTGCCGCTCCTCAGATGCCCAGCCGGCGTTTGCGGTTGCGACGCAGTTGCGGGGCGTTTGCAGAGCGGTAACACCATTCAAACTTCATTATATGCGTTTGTAGGGTGTTTTTACTGCCGCTGAACCGCGCATGCGGCGTTTGTGAAGCGTTTGCCGAGCATTAAAAAACGCTCCGCAAACGCCGGACTAACGCTTGGCAAACGCTATAGGGGCGTTTAGCAAGAGTTGGTAAAACAGTCAAGTGTGATCGAGCCCTAATACACACATACACACCACAAAATTAGACATTATTAATATTATGATACAGGATTTATATAGCGCCAACAGTTTGCGCAGCGCTTTACAAAATGAAGGTAGACATTCCGGGTACAATACAATTTGGTACAAGAGGAATCAGAGGGCCCTGCTCATTAGAGTTTACAATCTAAGAATACCATGCTGATTTGTATTTTATCTATTGCTCATATCAAGAGGTTATGCTGCACTTCCAGTTATTCAGAGGACAATCGTCCCATATATTGTGCGATCTCCAGTGTCAGGCAAGATCTATTTGTCATAATACTTGACCAAGCTAAAGCTTCTATCTGTTTCTTATAAAACAATGGCACCCCAATCTGCAGTATCCGAGACCTGAGTGGCTGGGGAGGATCTTCAGCCAGAGTCACTGGACCACCTGCCTAATAATGAGAAGGTCCCCCTTTGACTGCCAAAACAGCCCTGACCAGTCGAGGCATGGACTCCACTAGACCTCTGAAAGTGTATTGTGATACCTAGCACCGTCGGTAGCAAATCCTTTAAAGTGGGTCGAAAGTCATAAGGGTTTTTTACCTTTAAGCATTAGGTACAAAAAACCTTTCCGTAGCTGTTTCTACACCTTCCTAAATACCCCTGAGTCCCATATTGATCCAGCGCTGTTCTCATCTGCAGGTCTTTTCACCCCTCTCCCACCTCTCAGAGGCTTGGCTGAGAACAGCAAGAGCCATTGGCTCCTGCCGCTGTCAGTTAAATCCAGTGATGAGGGAGCCGAGCCAGGCTATGTGTGTCTATGGACACACACAGCCTGGCTCAGGAATGAGCCTTAACGTGTGCAACCAAAGGAAGCATTTCGTCTGGTGACACACAAAGAAGAGGAGCCTAAAGCACTGGCGGGGGACCCCAGACGAGGAGGTTCGGGCCGCTCTGTGCAATACCATTGCACAGATCAGGTAAGTATAATATTTTTTATTTTAGGAAAAAACATTTTTTAACTTTAAATCCTGTAAATTGCAAGGTTGGGACTTGTGTTTTTCCAGCACATCCCATAGATGTTCGATTGGACTGAGACCTGGAGATTTTGAAGGCCAAGTCAACATCTGAAACTCATTGTTGTGTTCCTGAAACCATTCTTGAACCATTTTTGCAGTGTGGTATGGAGCATTATCCTACTGAAAGAGGCCTCAGCCATCAAGGAACACCATTTCTGTGAAGGGGTGCAACTGGTCAGTGATAATGTTTAGCTAAGTGATGCATGTCAAATAACATCCATGTGGGGCGAAGGGGCGAAAACAGCAGCAACAACAACATTTCTGCCTCGCTTGTGAGGGCGACCATCAGGGCGGTCAGCAAAAGGAAGCTGCAACCGATCCGGGCGTCTCTCACTCTGACACCCTCTGCTGTAAGTAAAGTAAAACAGCTTCTAGCAGACAAACCAGACCATATTGGCCTAAAAGTAGGAGTTCGTACAAGGGGCTGCAATGGCATGTCTTATTACCAAGAATATGCAAAATGTAAGGGAGCATTAGATGAAGAAGTAGTGCAAGATGGAGTAAAAGTGTTCGTAGAGAAGAAAGCACAGCTGACTCTTTTAGGAACTGAAATGGACTATGTAGAAGATAAACTCTCTAGTGAGTTCATCTTTAATAACCCCAACATTAGAGGAACCTCTGGCTGTGGAGAAAGCTTCAACATTTGATACAAAAGGCTGCAGCTTGCTTTTTAACTACAAATAGGTTTTCCATCATAAAATGTATGCATTGCAAAGCACTTTTTCAGAGTCTCAGGCTTTTACAGATTCCCTTTAACTTGATTTTACCTAATAAAGGCTTAATTTTGTTTTGTGAACAGAAAAAAAAAATAACATCCACGTGAATGGTAGGACCAGGGGCGGACTGACCATTTGGAAACTCGGGCACTGCTTGAGGGCCCGGGGTCAGTAGGGGGCCCATGAGATGCCCCTGGTACCTTTTTCATAGGCTTTTTTGAGTTTGGGCAAGGACAAAGGGGCCCCATGATCCCCTATTGCCCGGGGGCCCCATGAGTTGTCAGTCCGCCCCTGGGTAGGACCATAGGTTTTCTAGCAGAACATTGCTCAAAGCATCACACTACCTCCGCTGGCATGTTTTCTTCCCATAGTGCATCCTGGTGCCATTTCTTCTCCAGCTAGGTGACACAAACACACACACACACTCAACTGGCCATTCACATAATGTAAAAGAAAATGTGATTGATCAGACCAGACCACCTTTATTACATAACTACATAGTTAGTCTGGTTGAAAAAAGACACAAGTCCATCTAGTTCAACCAATAAAAGGGAAAAAAATATACAATCCTATATAAACAATCCTTTACCCACAGTTGAATCAGAGGAAGGCAAAAAAACAATAAAGTTTGATACAATTTGCTCCAGCAGGGGAAAAAACTCCTTCCTGATCCCCCAAGAGGCCATCAGATATTCCCTGGATCAACTTTACCTATAAATATTAGCATTCAGTTATATTATGTACATTTAGGAAAGAATCCAGGCTTTTTTTAAAACAGTCTACTGAGCTGGCCAGAGAGTCTTTTCCACATTTTCACCGATCTTACTGTGAAGAAGCCTTTCCGACGCGCGTACTTTGATTTGGCTTCATAGTGCGGCCTTGAACGCCTGTTGTGCCCGCTCTGACTGCCAGGGAGACCCCCCTGTACAAGGACTATTGACCCACATGCTACTTTACTACCTCATTACTTCTGGATGTAAGTGCCAGTTCTCTTTTTTCATTTTGTACCTGCTTTCAACTGTAACTCCTTTCTGTTATAATAAATACTACACTATTGGAGTTTTCTTTTTCTCTGGGCTCATTTTTTGCAAATCATGAGCCCCCCTCCCTTAAGGTACTCCATGGTAGGAGACTTATACAAAAAGTACATGATCCCCCCGGTGGCTGAAATCCATACTGCAGGATATATCCAATGTGATGATCATACATTATACTGGAATGAAGAAACCTGCGCTGGTCTGATGATATCTGGTGACTCAACCCCACCTGACGACTTCACCTGTTTGCAGAGTTCCGGTTTCCCAGAGTACCACTGGAGTAGGTCTTATTTACTCCAACGCACATAATCATGTGCTATCTGGTTAGTGCATTGTATTCTCACTTCTCACGAACCACAGAAGTCACGATATTTTAACAGCAATCCAAGGAATCACGATTGCCACGTTGCACTTTTAAGACTTTTTACTTATATTTTCACCTATGTCATTTTTATTTTGCAATATCAAGCGCTGCATTTCTTACTGTGACTACTCTACATTACATTAGAGGATTCAGGTATTTCTTCCCTTTCTGCTGGCGGCTGATTTTATATTTCTGCTCTGTTACCCAGCGCTCGTATACCCATTGTTTCTTGCCCCCTTGTCCTCTGTGATGACCTTAAAGTGAATAATTCTGCACTGAGTTCACTATATGAATATTTAGTAGTCCTTATTATAAGCTTAATAGTGGTATGTATTGTTCCTTCACTCACACAAGGGGATGGCATAATTCTTTTTTTTTTTACGACAACAGAGGCAGCAACATATGGAGCCATAAACAATGCATTTAGACTGCATATTTAATATTCAACTCCACATTTCATTCATATTGCCATAATCAAATCTCTTGCCTGTCTTCATCATGACTGTACTTCAGCTGTGGCACAGCCATCCCTAGGCTGTACAAAGTATAGGTTATAACTGATTCAGCTTTTCCCTAGCTACCTCTACATCCACTATTTCTATGCCACTGCAAATCTGAGTTTTAAGATGTTCAACGAAGGACATTTAATTAGTCAGTGTAGGTTAATCATGAGGTCCCAGCCAGATTTCATTAGTCTGAACTGAAAAACTACATTAGACAACCAGAAAGAAAGCCGCATTAGTTTAATTACTTTGTCTAATTTAAATTAAAGAAAGAAAGAAAAATACATCAACTTGTTGGAGCTCGAGACGAGATATATTGACTTTTGTAGTGCCCCTCTAGATAGCCAGAGGGAGCTAGTTAAAATTTTTTATTTAGAGAGGCTGAGTAGCAGCCTGGGGAAATAGTCAGCAGGGTCAAATTCAAGTCAAGGCTGAGAGGCTTTGCAGGTCGGTTCCTTGATACCTCTTGGAGAAGATTCTAGAAGCAGTGGGCGGGGGTGAGGAGGAGCCGGCCTGCACACTCAGAGCACTTTGGCCAATTCCCAAGCAGGAGGCCTGGCATGGGACCAGGTTATAGAAAAGTGCAGCGCTAAAAGTGACAATAACGAGAGATCAATAAAATGAATATATGATAATATAATGATATAAATAGTTACAATAAATAGTATAAGATAAATAAAGGTGAATCTTGTGCTTTGGTAACTCTGGATCAGGTATAGGTGCAATAATGGTGATAGTAATGCGCACTCACCGGACACGCATGTTAAATGCGCCTTATCTAATTATTCCAGATGTCATCAGCACTGGGAGTGGTCAGGAACTTATGAGTTCTTCCCTCTAGAGTGTAGTAGGTCATCAGACAGGATCATTTTAAGAAATTACAGATGATCCTCGTCCTACAGGATTCCCCTTTAAGGTGCCTGGTAGTGCTCCCTGGATACGCAGGTGTCCACTGCAGATGTGAAGATTGCTCCTGGAGTGGTGTATCTAAAAACTCAGAGGGCTCCAGTTCTTTATGTGAGGAGGTCCTTCTTCCAGTCTTAACAAAGCATATCTAGCTGCACTGAGGGAGAGACCTCTTCATCCATCTCCCCATTCTCAGTCCAGCAATAAGGGTAGCTACAAGTGCATAATACCAGGAAGAGATGAACATCAGATGAACATGGACATGGACACAGACAAACAAGGAACTTTATCTTCAGAATAACAAAAGGGCACTTTCCTTTCTGGGCATGAACATCTGTTTGGCTCTGATGTTCATCTCTTCCTGGTATTATGCACTTGTAGCTACCCTTATTGCTGGACTGATTTACAAGTACATAGAGTACCAAGGAGCAGAGAAAGAATGGGGAGATGGATTAAGAGGTCTTTCCCTCAGTGCAGCTAGATATGCTTTGTTAAGACTGGGAGCACTACAGGCACCTTAAAGGGGAATCCTGTAGGACGAGGATCATCTGTAATTCCTTAAAAGGATCCTGTCTGATGACCTACTACCCTCTAGCGGGAAGACCTCATATGTTCCTGACCACTACCAGTGCTGATGACATCTGGAATAATTATATAAGGCGCATTTAACATGCACGTCCGGTGAGAGCGCTTTACTATCACCATTATTGCACCTATACCGGATCCAGAGTTACCAAAGCACAAAAGTCACCTTTATTTATCTTATCCTATTTATTGGAACTATTTATATCATAATATTATCATATATTAATTTTATTGATCTGTCGTTATTGTCACTTTTAGTGCTGCACTTTTCTATATATTATGATTTTAGGTGATATTGGTTACCTGTTTTGTGCATAGCAGCTTTTATATATATTTATTTCTAATTCTAAGGCGCTCATAATTTCTGTTTATATATATGGGACTACGTTAGCCTTTGAGTGTGATTGAGCCTGCTCAGCAGCAGGAGAGTTCGGGTGGAAGATGTGAGGAAGGCTGAGATTCAGGAGCCTGGGAGGAGGCCCAGTGGGATGGTGCATACCTACAGGCTGGGAACTGGAAAGGAGGATCACTCAGCACCCACTGGTCCCCAGAGGGAGGACTACCAGTGGAGCTAGGGAAGGAGCCAGCCCAGCTAAAGGCCTGAAGGGAGCCACCAACCTAACCAGCTCACAGGAAAGGACTGGGCCAGTAAAGGGAAAAGAGCATTCTGGTGGGAAACTGGACTAGCTCCTTACCTGGGAGTGTTCAACTTAAAGTGGCAGGCACTGGATCCCCTTGCCCAGGGATTCCTCCACACAGCTTGGCAAAGAAGAGTCTGGGGTCTGAGTGGTATACCAGGAGAGGCTGGAGAGCTCTCCTAGAAGAGAATTTCCTTTTTTTTGGACTTGTACATAGTTGCCAGGAAGGTGTCCTCACTTTACTGTTCCTTGGGCATCCCTTACACCCCTTACTCCATCCAAGTTCAATACCCCCTAATAAAACTTAAAACCAAGCCCAAGGACTGTTTACTGTCTCTGGAATGCAAGTCAGTGGAAAATGTGTGTTGCCTGGCTGTGCAGGACTATAGGGGGACCCAAAACTTCAGCAACTCCTAAGGGGGTAAGCTACACTTTGTACTTGTTACTTTTGTAATTGTAGCACCTTTCTAGCATGCATGGCTAGGCAAATTTAGCTTCTGGGTTCCTTTTGTAATCAAAAGAGCAGTGATTGTTTAGTCTGGCGTGTTCAGTGTCTCACAGGCTAGGAGATTGATTTCTTCCTCCTGAAAGAAGCTTCTGCGGCATAGGGTGGAAGATTTAAATCACCCAGCCTAAATATTTATCACATTCCAGTGAATCCCTGGAGGGGAAGTTTCCAGAAGGAGGCTGGACTGTGAATAAATAGACTGAAACACTGGAGAGCAAGGTTCCTTCTCCCCAGGAGGGCTCCAGAGGTGCATTGGCTGTTGCTGCTAGAGCAGCCCATGGACTGGAAAACTGCTTAAGGAGGCTTCACAGGTGCTAGGATCAAAGGCTCAAAGGGACTTTTATTAGAGGTGACTGCAGAACCACAAAGGATCCGATTCTGAGAGGCTCC